GGCTTCATTTATGGACTTGATGAATCAAGTCTTTCATGAGTTCTTAGATCGATTCATGGTTGTCTTCGTTAACGACATCTTAGTCTACTCACCCTCTGAGGAGGAACATGGGAAATTTGTAGCAATTTACAAGTTGAAGTTAAGCCGAGATTATTCCTTAATTCACTTGTTGAAATTTGTAGCAATTTACAAGTTGAAGTTAAGCCGAGATTATTCCTTAATTCACTTGTTGAAATTTGTAGCAATTTACAAGTTGAAGTTAAGCCGAGATTATTCCTTAATTCACTTGTTGAAATTTGTAGCAATTTACAAGTTGAAGTTAAGCCGAGATTATTCCTTAATTCACTTGTTGAAATTTGTAGCAATTTACAAGTTGAAGTTAAGCCGAGATTATTCCTTAATTCACTTGTTGAAATTTGTAGCAATTTACAAGTTGAAGTTAAGCCGAGATTATTCCTTAATTCACTTGTTGAAATTTGTAGCAATTTACAAGTTGAAGTTAAGCCGAGATTATTCCTTAATTCACTTGTTGAAATTTGTAGCAATTTACAAGTTGAAGTTAAGCCGAGATTATTCCTTAATTCACTTGTTGAAATTTGTAGCAATTTACAAGTTGAAGTTAAGCCGAGATTATTCCTTAATTCACTTGTTGAAATTTGTAGCAATTTACAAGTTGAAGTTAAGCCGAGATTATTCCTTAATTCACTTGTTGAAATTTGTAGCAATTTACAAGTTGAAGTTAAGCCGAGATTATTCCTTAATTCACTTGTTGAAATTTGTAGCAATTTACAAGTTGAAGTTAAGCCGAGATTATTCCTTAATTCACTTGTTGAAATTTGTAGCAATTTACAAGTTGAAGTTAAGCCGAGATTATTCCTTAATTCACTTGTTGAAATTTGTAGCAATTTACAAGTTGAAGTTAAGCCGAGATTATTCCTTAATTCACTTGTTGAAATTTGTAGCAATTTACAAGTTGAAGTTAAGCCGAGATTATTCCTTAATTCACTTGTTGAAATTTGTAGCAATTTACAAGTTGAAGTTAAGCCGAGATTATTCCTTAATTCACTTGTTGAAATTTGTAGCAATTTACAAGTTGAAGTTAAGCCGAGATTATTCCTTAATTCACTTGTTGAAATTTGTAGCAATTTACAAGTTGAAGTTAAGCCGAGATTATTCCTTAATTCACTTGTTGAAATTTGTAGCAATTTACAAGTTGAAGTTAAGCCGAGATTATTCCTTAATTCACTTGTTGAAATTTGTAGCAATTTACAAGTTGAAGTTAAGCCGAGATTATTCCTTAATTCACTTGTTGAAATTTGTAGCAATTTACAAGTTGAAGTTAAGCCGAGATTATTCCTTAATTCACTTGTTGAAATTTGTAGCAATTTACAAGTTGAAGTTAAGCCGAGATTATTCCTTAATTCACTTGTTGAAATTTGTAGCAATTTACAAGTTGAAGTTAAGCCGAGATTATTCCTTAATTCACTTGTTGAAATTTGTAGCAATTTACAAGTTGAAGTTAAGCCGAGATTATTCCTTAATTCACTTGTTGAAATTTGTAGCAATTTACAAGTTGAAGTTAAGCCGAGATTATTCCTTAATTCACTTGTTGAAATTTGTAGCAATTTACAAGTTGAAGTTAAGCCGAGATTATTCCTTAATTCACTTGTTGAAATTTGTAGCAATTTACAAGTTGAAGTTAAGCCGAGATTATTCCTTAATTCACTTGTTGAAATTTGTAGCAATTTACAAGTTGAAGTTAAGCCGAGATTATTCCTTAATTCACTTGTTGAAATTTGTAGCAATTTACAAGTTGAAGTTAAGCCGAGATTATTCCTTAATTCACTTGTTGAAATTTGTAGCAATTTACAAGTTGAAGTTAAGCCGAGATTATTCCTTAATTCACTTGTTGAAATTTGTAGCAATTTACAAGTTGAAGTTAAGCCGAGATTATTCCTTAATTCACTTGTTGAAATTTGTAGCAATTTACAAGTTGAAGTTAAGCCGAGATTATTCCTTAATTCACTTGTTGAAATTTGTAGCAATTTACAAGTTGAAGTTAAGCCGAGATTATTCCTTAATTCACTTGTTGAAATTTGTAGCAATTTACAAGTTGAAGTTAAGCCGAGATTATTCCTTAATTCACTTGTTGAAATTTGTAGCAATTTACAAGTTGAAGTTAAGCCGAGATTATTCCTTAATTCACTTGTTGAAATTTGTAGCAATTTACAAGTTGAAGTTAAGCCGAGATTATTCCTTAATTCACTTGTTGAAATTTGTAGCAATTTACAAGTTGAAGTTAAGCCGAGATTATTCCTTAATTCACTTGTTGAAATTTGTAGCAATTTACAAGTTGAAGTTAAGCCGAGATTATTCCTTAATTCACTTGTTGAAATTTGTAGCAATTTACAAGTTGAAGTTAAGCCGAGATTATTCCTTAATTCACTTGTTGAAATTTGTAGCAATTTACAAGTTGAAGTTAAGCCGAGATTATTCCTTAATTCACTTGTTGAAATTTGTAGCAATTTACAAGTTGAAGTTAAGCCGAGATTATTCCTTAATTCACTTGTTGAAATTTGTAGCAATTTACAAGTTGAAGTTAAGCCGAGATTATTCCTTAATTCACTTGTTGAAATTTGTAGCAATTTACAAGTTGAAGTTAAGCCGAGATTATTCCTTAATTCACTTGTTGAAATTTGTAGCAATTTACAAGTTGAAGTTAAGCCGAGATTATTCCTTAATTCACTTGTTGAAATTTGTAGCAATTTACAAGTTGAAGTTAAGCCGAGATTATTCCTTAATTCACTTGTTGAAATTTGTAGCAATTTACAAGTTGAAGTTAAGCCGAGATTATTCCTTAATTCACTTGTTGAAATTTGTAGCAATTTACAAGTTGAAGTTAAGCCGAGATTATTCCTTAATTCACTTGTTGAAATTTGTAGCAATTTACAAGTTGAAGTTAAGCCGAGATTATTCCTTAATTCACTTGTTGAAATTTGTAGCAATTTATAAGTTGAAGTTAAGCCGAGATTATTCCTTAATTCACTTGTTGAAATTTGTAGCAATTTATAAGTTGAAGTTAAGCCGAGATTATTCCTTAATTCACTTGTTGAAATTTGTAGCAATTTATAAGTTGAAGTTAAGCCGAGATTATTCCTTAATTCACTTGTTGAAATTTGTAGCAATTTATAAGTTGAAGTTAAGCCGAGATTATTCCTTAATTCACTTGTTGAAATTTGTAGCAATTTATAAGTTGAAGTTAAGCCGAGATTATTCCTTAATTCACTTGTTGAAATTTGTAGCAATTTATAAGTTGAAGTTAAGCCGAGATTATTCCTTAATTCACTTGTTGAAATTTGTAGCAATTTATAAGTTGAAGTTAAGCCGAGATTATTCCTTAATTCACTTGTTGAAATTTGTAGCAATTTATAAGTTGAAGTTAAGCCGAGATTATTCCTTAATTCACTTGTTGAAATTTGTAGCAATTTATAAGTTGAAGTTAAGCCGAGATTATTCCTTAATTCACTTGTTGAAATTTGTAGCAATTTATAAGTTGAAGTTAAGCCGAGATTATTCCTTAATTCACTTGTTGAAATTTGTAGCAATTTATAAGTTGAAGTTAAGCCGAGATTATTCCTTAATTCACTTGTTGAAATTTGTAGCAATTTATAAGTTGAAGTTAAGCCGAGATTATTCCTTAATTCACTTGTTGAAATTTGTAGCAATTTATAAGTTGAAGTTAAGCCGAGATTATTCCTTAATTCACTTGTTGAAATTTGTAGCAATTTATAAGTTGAAGTTAAGCCGAGATTATTCCTTAATTCACTTGTTGAAATTTGTAGCAATTTATAAGTTGAAGTTAAGCCGAGATTATTCCTTAATTCACTTGTTGAAATTTGTAGCAATTTATAAGTTGAAGTTAAGCCGAGATTATTCCTTAATTCACTTGTTGAAATTTGTAGCAATTTACAAGTTTATGTTAAGCCGACATATGATCACCCGCTGAGGTATACAAAAATTTACAGGTTGAAATAAAGGCTAAGTATATTGTTCACTACTTGTTGAAATTTGTAGCAATTTACAAGTAGGATAGATCGAGTTTACTGTTTGAAACTTACTTGAGAAGAAACTTGCAAAGTTTACATTCAGAAATATATGTTTTATACTTGTTAAATTTTATGAAAAAGTTTGCAGGTCAGTATCTTGCCGAAGTAAAAGTTTTGTAATTATACCCGAGGTATGCAACCCCGAGAAGATTGCACAAAGGAGGCAGCATGAAGAAGCATGCAAAAAAAAAAAAATTGCTAAGTACAAGACTATGCAGAAGCAGTCCACAGAACATCACAAGATTAAAACATCCAAAGGAAGAACAGTTGCAGTTACATATTGAAAAAGCCACGTCGGCCATAAGAAGGAGTTTTGCATTATCCAGAAATTAAAAGAGTACAAAATGCAAAAAACAGAAAAAGAAGGAAAAAGGTACAAAAGACATTTTTTCAAGATTCTTCAGTATTAGCCGCTGCTAGGACTGGGACCTCGGACGATTCTGGTGGAACCTCCTTGGCAACCCTTTCTGCTTCAATCTCAGCATCAATCTCAGCCAGCGTATTATCCACATTTCTTTCGGCCAAAAGAAGGTCGGATGATAGTTGCCCGATGACAATCTCCTTAGGCGCCTCCCCAATCTCATCACCCTCCTCATCCAGGGTTAGATCCATAACTTGCTCAGTAGGATGAAGGGACTTGGCTTCAACAGCATCCTTGGGTCTCCTCACCAAGGCTTCACCTTCATTTTTTTCTCCATCCTCATCCTCGACATCGGCCTCAGTCTCTGATTCGTTTTCAGCTTGACTTGGTGGAGGAAATGGTAAGGGGATGGCATCAACATTCCGAAGGGGCGAGTCAACAGGGAGATCAAGCTTCTTTATCAGGGACATCCAACCAAGGGAAAATCCCCTGTTGCATGCCTGCCTGACTTGAAGCTTATAATCTTCTGCGACGTCGGCCATACCTTGGGCATAGGCCTTTTCATCGGCCTCTTTGACTTCGGCCTCCTTGGTGGCCAGAGCTTGCTAGAGTTCTTTCTCCGCTTGGGCCCTCTTAGCCTCGGCCTCTCTTTTCTCAGCTTCAGCAACTTTTTTAACGGCCTCAGCGGATTCGGCCTTCTCAAGAGCTAAAGTTTGGGCTTTAGTGGCAGCCTCGGCCTGATCCTCCAGTTTTTTCATTTTTGATTCAAGAGACTTTATCTCCCTCTTCAGAGAGGACGCCTCCCTCTTCATATCAACCAATCTTTGACGATTTTCAAAGGATTGCATTGAAAATGAATGGGCGTGTTGGATAGCCTGAAAGAAAACAGAAGTGTCAGAAAATTTTCTCAGTACGAAACAGAAGGAAAAAACACAAATGCAAACAGAAATGCTTACCTGAACAGAATGTTGGAGCATGAGAGCATAATTCTCATACTCACTAAGCTTAGCATTTCGCTCCAAATCATTTGGAAGCAGAAGAGCAGTGCTGAGGGCGACACCAACGTTAATATCGTCGGCACTTTCACTGGCCATGATAGGCCTATCCTCCAGAGTTAGTTCAGGAGCCCATGGAACATCGGGCTTCTTTGACGCCGAGGTCGTCGCAGACGATGACCTTGGCCTCTTTGATTGTGTAGACCCTGAGGGTTGGCCCTCAGCTGACCTCTTGGTGGAAGCAGAGGTTGATTTTCTGCTTTCTGCCAGCTTCGAAATAGGCAAAGCATCCTCAGCTTCGGCATCTGTAGCCTTGGCCTTGGGCTGAGCCTTCTTAACTCTCTTTGGCTTTGGTGGGAGCATTGATTGCGATGGCGCAGCTTCGGCGTCAGTTGGAAGGTCGGCGAGAAGGTCTTGAACGACAGGCCTTGGACGAACCATCTCGGCAGTTTTTATTAGCCTACGCCGGCATTTTCGTTCGGGAACTGGTATTAAGTAGGGGGCCGAAGTCGATGGAAGATCAACAGGATCAGATGTAGACTCTTGGTCTGTTCGTGATGTTGAAGCGGTTTGAGTTGTGGCAGTAGGCGGGGAGAGGCTTTTCTTCTTTGTTTTCGGGACGTCGGGCAATGTGGATTTATATGTGGGGATGAAGTTTAGTAACAGTGGGGCTTTTCGTTTATGGATTGGAAGGTTAAGGAGTGTCTTCAGATCTGTTCCTGGGAAGAAGGATTGACGAAAATTTTTCAGTGGCTGATGAAGATCTGCAGGACAAAGAAACAGACGTCAGAAACAAAAAAGTATTAAGGACTTAAATAAAAACAACTAAGTGTTGACTCAGGGCTCTTACTCTTGCCCTCTGTAATTGTTCGAGGAAGAGGGTAGAGGTGGACATCTTCATCTGGGCCAAATTCCCAATTTCCAGAAGCAATGACAAAATCATCTCCCCCCTTGTTGGGGTCGGGAGGTCGGCTACAACTTTTTGTACTGGGTAGATCTCGGCTTAGGTAATACGACGAACCCCTTCCTTCAGGTCAGGGGCAATGGAATGACATGTATCGCAATTGAGGGTGATTCTGAGGTTTTCTTGCCTGCTGGCTATGTACCGTATATCACCTATAGAATTGCGATAGTAGTTGGCATGGGTTCAGCTTGTAGAAATGAAGAATTCGCGAACAGGGGTCAAGTGGAAGCGAAGTTCACATTCGGTTGAAGTCTAAGGAAAATGCATTGATGATCTGTGGCATGATGGTGTCGCTATCCCAGCTAGCTTAAGTTGACATCGGCTTGGATGAGAATCCTGCTAAAGTATTCTTAGTTTGTTGGGTTTTTACCTTATTGCCTCCCTACCCATTCACGTCAACCTAACAAAAGAAGAATAGTGTAGGTAAGATGGGCGTACGAAGGGTTGCAGAACCCGGCAAAGAACTGGATGGACTGATAAGTACTTGTTTCAGTTTTCCCTTAAAAAAAAAATTAAAAGGGTTCTTACCCCAACAAACCCAAATCCAGGCTAGGAACTACAAAGAACATATCCGAAGGACACAGATCTGAGACAGATCGAAAAAGAAATAGAGACATAGTTTCAGAAATCAAGAATCAGTGCAAGAAAAATTGGTAAAATAGTACCAAGTTCAGATATGCACTACCGATAAGTACAATTCGAACGAAAGCAACAATGGCACAGACAGACGAAAGCTCATGAAAAAATTGAGAGTGAAAGAAAGAATCTTACCAGAACAATGAGCCGAGGCAATGTTCGCGAACCCAGAATCGGTCGCAACAGTGGAGGAGCTTCGCAAGAATGGGGATTAAGAATAGTTCAGAAGGGAATCGAAGCAATGGCAGATCGAAGGAGGAGGCTTTCAGAGAGGAAGAGCAGTAAATACTATAGAAAAATGAAGGAATGAGGAAAGAGGTTTGTCAAAAATTTGAAACGGCGGCAAAATTAGGGTAATCATTACGCCTAGGGTAACGCACGCGTCAGACGGCGCAGACGAATGACAGACAGCTTTCAGGCGCGTCACCGACACGCTCCAATGAAGACGGCCCTCTGTGGGGGAACAGTTAGATATGCATGACAGCTCATGCGTGTAAAAAAGTACGATTGAAACCTTGTTCTCCGAAGAGAACACATCGGCTGAAAAGTGGATTATCTCGGCTAAAACAATTTTTGAGCCATTACTCAGAAAAGGAATATCGAAATATCGGTATAGGTTCCATCACCTCAGAGCGCCGAGGTAATAGAACCTAGGGGGCAGTTGTGGGGATATATTTTCTGAATACCAACACGTGGCATGGTAACGCCGACGTGTTAGCTGAGGTGCCACGTATCCTGGTAGTTACGTCGAGGTGATCTCGGAGTTGCCGAGGTTATCTCCAAAGATATCGGAATCCGAGATAGGCGGATAGGGGACAAGAGTCCTAAGACGAAGAGGGGACTTAACCTAGATAAGGATAAAGCTCTTAGGGAGTTTATCTTTATCTCTTAAAGAGTCCAAAGTAAACATTGATATGAAGTTCATAGAAGTCATACTTCTAGTGGGACTTGGATTGAGTATATTATAAAAGAGAGGCACCCCCGTGGGTCTAAGGTATGTAATTTATATTTTGAGTATTCAGTTTAGTACTTGATTATCTTTGAAAGATATACTGACTTGATCGTCAGAGTGCCCCCGGGTGGATGAACCACCGCCAGAGCTTTTTCTTTCTGTTGCAGGTTACTAAAGCCATCTATTCTGCCTGTGCTCTCCAGCTGATCACTAAACGGGCAGTATGGTCAGATTTTCACCCACACACAAATAATTTCATTTAAGATAGCCCTTGTTGATTTGCTTTTTAGTTTCTCAAAAAGTATGTGTTCCGTCCACCATGAAGATAAAAATAAAGAAAAAAAAAATACATTTTGTCACATTTTTTATTCTTAATTTATTCAGTTTATGTTTAAATGCACTCAAAACTGATTTGGTCTCAATTTTATAACAAAAGCAAAGATTATTTTTATCCAAATTTAAATGAAAATTGGATCAAAAAAAAAAAAAAAAAAGGCTATAAACTAGCCTGGCAAGTTGTGAGTAGAGTGTGAATAATAATGAGCCATATGCATTTAAAACTAAGATGGAATCACATGGCTGAACTCTAATAACCAACTCTTTTTTGCAATTTCTATAATTGGCACATAATTTCATTACACTGTAGCTACTTCGGTTGTGTTTGGAATGTGAAATGTTGGTGCCCTTTTTCCTTTTCTTTTAAATTTTTTTATCCAAACTCATGATTTAAATGCAGCCTTCATCAATTTTATCATTCATTTGATCTACTGATCCTTTTATTGTATATGAAGGTTTAAAGATAAATGTCTAAAACAACTAATTTAATTTTACAATTTAAATTAAATGTCCTTACAAGTTATATTAATTACTAATTTTATTCCTAAAAATGCTGGAAAACTAAATTCAAATGCAGCCTTCATCAATTTTATCATTCATTTGATCTATTGATCCTCTTATTGTACGTGAAGGTTTAAAGGTAAATGTCTAAACCGACTAATTTAATTTTACAACTTAATTTAAATGTCAAGTTATATGTAAAACTTAATTAGTAATTTTATTCCTAAAAATGCTGGAAAAGCAATATTTAGAGCTTGTTTTGAAATTTGACTTTTTTTGGTAATTTTTTAGCTTTTGAATTTTGTACATCCGTGTTTGGGAATGACATTTTAGTTCTATGGTGTTTGGTAGAGTTTTCTAAAATTAATTTCATCCTTATATTTTAATGCTATGTTTGGTTTGACTTTTCAAATCATGATTACAAATCAATTTCAAAATACATTTTGAAAACATGTTTGGTAAAACGGATAATTTTCGAATTTTTGATCTACCCAGTCGTTCGCTCGGATACCGAACATCCTCCCGGATGTCCGGCCGGTTGACCGGAACAATACTTTTTTTTTCACAATTGGCAATCGCCACGTGTTATTTAGGAAAAAAAAATTATATTTGTTTTTGATATTTTTTAAATATATAAATTATTTTTTAGACCAAAATGACAAATTAATTTTTTGAATTATATTTTAAAAAGAGTTTGGTTATGAGTTTTGAATAGAATTTTCAATAGAGTTTTGAGTTGTGTGTTTGATTATGAGTTATGAGTTTTTCAATTGAGTTATAACCAAATAACTTTTCTCATTTCATATATTACATCAAAAATTCAAAACTCTTTTCAAAACGCATAACCAAACAAATTTTTTCTTTTCAAATCGTAATTCCAAAACTCACAAACTTAAAATACAACTCTATTATCAAATCATAATTCTAAAACTCTACCAAACATTGGTGTTTGACTTTATCTTTTAGTATTATTTTTTATTTTTATTTTTTAATAACTCTTTGACTTTATTTTAGTTTTTTGGTTTTCTTTGCGTAGAAGCCAAGTTGTCCAACAACCCTTTAATTTGATATTTCTATATTTTAACTTTTATTTAGTATTATAATTTTATATTTTGTTTGATATTTTTCTTCTTGTTTTTAATAGAGGCCAAGTTTGGGAAGTATCTACGTTAGAATAAAAAAACTAAAAAGTCACTACCAAAAAGTCAATTATTCTCTTAAGGCACGTTGGAATGGGTTAGGTTTGGGCTTAGTCAGATTGGTGGTCCACCGACCTAATCTTTTTGGGCTAAGTCTATGTGGTGGCTGCAAATGTACACACATGTCTATATTGTGTGTAACCTTTACACTTAAGATGGTGATTTACACTATCAATTTTCTGTGCATTACTTCTTCAGTTTTGCAGAAATTGAATTTTGCATTTGTTGTAGAAAGGCTCCTCCTCTCCCCCTCCCCCCCCCCGCACCTTGGCGAGTCCGTTAAGTTAGCCACAGAAGTTAGCAGGGAGGTCAGCTACCTACTTGTTATCAATGTGGGTAGTCAGGGCACTTGAGGAGGTTTAACCCTCAGTCTAGTGGCACATCTGATGCCTCTGGTTTGAAGCAGACATAAAGCCATTAGCCAACACAGTCAGCATAGGCCTCGAGGACCAATCAATGAGCCACTTCAGCTTAATCTGTGTATCAGGCCTATGCTCCGAGGGGTGAGCAGATGGATTAGAGGCCTTCAAGGTGTGTGTATGTTGTTACAACGTTGGATTAGTTGCCATTACCTTTTGTTATTCAATTATATTGTCAATGTTTTGATTGATAATGGTGCATCTCATTCTTTTATATCATCTTCTTTTGCATCCACTTTAGGATTGGAGTTTGTGCTGTTGGAGTCTCCTTTATTGGTTGAGACACCTATTGGGGGTAGAGTGGCATTGGGTCGAGTATGTCACTTTTGTGAGATTGAAGTCACAGATCGTTGACTCTTGTTCGATTTCATTGTTCTTGATATACATGTTTTTGACATAATTC